TGCAGTGGGGTCCTAGTCACTGACTGGAGCACGCAGGCATTTGCACAGTCCAAGTAATTATTTCAAATAGGCCTCTGCTTGTCCAATATCCCACCTTCCAACTCTCTCAAAATAATTTTCAAACTTCATCACCAGACACAATATGGATTTCTCACACTCAGTCGTGCTCCTGATGACTTCAAGTCTTCCATGTTAACCTGTGTCACAATCACCTTTGTGTCATAGGTGCTTATAATTTATTTCATCTGGAATTTATCATCTCGCAGCTTGACAATGATTTATTTTTATGAGTTACAAAGCAGCAGCCAAGAGGCTCCTATAGCAAGCACAGAAGTGGATCCAGGTTCCTGTTGTACTCAAAAGGACACTCCGAAAAGCCTAACTCTTAAAAGTAATTCTTTGGAAGCTGCTTTTCCTCTGTTATTTACTCCACATTTCAGAGAGCCACAGAATTTGCAAAGTGCAATGATAAACACTGCAGTCCTGATTAAAAACAACTGCATCCCATGTACCATAGACCAACGTCCAATTAGTAGCAAGAATCCATTTCTGTTGATTAATGAGAAAATAAATAGGAGTATAAACCAAAGGAGAAGCCAGATCTTCTCCAGAAAGACTCCTGTCATCTTCTTAACACTCCTTATGTTCAGAGATTTCTCTTGCCATGGTTCTGGGAAGGCAGGAAGAAGGTAGAATTTAATCTGGCTACTGCCATAAAAGACAATAATAAAGGTTTCTGTAAATACATTAGCAAAAAAAAGGAAGGGTAAAGAGAATCTCCATCCTCTGTTGGATGCAGAGGAAAACAGTGACAAAGTACAAGGAAAAGTCTGAGGTACTTAACACTTTCCTTGCCTCAGTCTTTAAAAGAAAGACCAGTTGTTTTCCAGACAACCCGGGCCCCTGAACTGGAAGGCTGGGATGGGGAGCAGAATGAAGTCCCCACAATGCAAGGGGAAGTGTTTAGCAACCTGCTCCACCACTCAGACACACACAAGTCTATGGGCCAAGCTGATCTGCTGGAGGTTGGAAGGCTCTACAGAGGGATCTGGACAGGCTAGATCAATTAATCACAGTCATGGGAGTTGGACCAAGTCCCTACACCTGAAGTCTCTGTAGGCCTGAGATGACTTACCTCTCTTCTTCTATGTAATCATGCTGTGTTCTGCTCAAAAAATGTTTTCTGCAGAGTATTCATCAGCATTAAAGGGAGGAACAGACAGCATTGGACTCACAGGGTCAAAGTTCACAAGTTGCTTCTTATCTGTAATCATTCTCTTTTTTTTATTTCCTGGCAAGAGTTTAAATAACTCTAAGTAAGCATTTTATAAAGATCATGCTGTCTGAGGCTTTAATGAAAAATATGAAGACTTAAACAGTAAATCTACAAGCATGACAAGAAGAGGAAAGAGGCAGATAAAACATGTTGGCTCAGCATGATCTGAAACCAATTAGAGAAAGACAGACTGCCAATGCTCCTTGAATTAAATTCTCAAAACTTGTTATCTTCTTGTGTGCTCTCCTGATCAATAAATTCAAGCAATTCCATTAGTCTGTTAATTCACTTAATTAAACAATATCGAGCATTACTAACCATAATGAATGAGCTGTAATACAGCTCTGAATCCAAGGGCATGAGATAGCCCTTTGTCTGACTACATTTTTCACACTGCAGTTGTTTTATTAGAGATTTCAAACTCTAAAATAGGTATGGAAACTCGGATACAAACAGCTATTTATTTAAACTCTTCCCTGGTTTAAAAAAAAAAAAAAAGTTGTTTAAAGAAGTAAAACCTTTCTTATTGGTGTGATGTATTTTTATTTCTTCAGTGTACTCTAAAACGATCTTGCTGTTTGCACTGCACTCTCAAACTCTTAAAAGGCTCTAAATTCCACAAATGGCCAAAAGTGGACTGTGCCAGAATGTGATCAGTCACAGAGAGTTTGTACTGGCGTCTAAGATGCATCATTCACACACGCATTTATTCACACTTTGTTTGGTGAAGATTCCATAGAATTCATAAAACAACCAAAATTCTCTCTGCTTTTTTAGTGAAACTGCTACAAAAGGCTCAGTTCCTGTTAACAAATGTATGTTTATGAACATGTGGAATGAAATTCCCTCCAGGATTACCAAAATCTTTCAAACTGACTGACCTGTTATTTCTACTTTTAAAATGTCACATTTCAGTATTTTTGTGACAAAAATATTCAGCCTTTTCAGCATCATATTCTGTTTCATATAAAGACTTTATTACACAGATGTCAAAACCCACCCAAAGTCCGAGTCAAATGTACAGAAAACAATCCTCTTAGAGGCTACATAAACTGGCAGGAGGTACCTGACATTCCATACATAAGCAGATAATAAACAGACTATTTAATAAATAAAAGCCATTAGATAGATAAATAGATAATGCCCCTCAAAATACTTTTATACTGAGTAAGATCTAATTAATACTTTACAGGGTTCTTTGATGATGCTGAACCACTTTCTTATATTTTATACATGCCAGCAAAAAGTTCCTTGGTTAGAATTTTTATGTCTTTTTTTCTACTATTATTTCATTTATTTACTTTAATAATTTAAAATTAATTTTAGTTCAGTCCTTTATAATGTCATTTTACTCTATGAAAATTATAGAGCTCAGAGATATAGAAATAAAAGGCAATGAAATTTCTCATCTCTTAAATTATAACAGCCATAACACTCCCATCTGAAGAAGAGGATAATGTGGTTAGAAGTATTAAAATTTTAAAACAAATGCGAAGAAAAACAGCTAATGACTTTTAAAGAGAGTTGATTTTCAAGGCATGTGAACATGCAAAAATCAAGAGTATTAGAGCTGATACAGCAAAGACAAGGTCTCCTTTCACACTGCAGTCACTGTGAATACAATATCTTTTTGTTGGAGCAAGTCCACATTGAAGACAATTTGAATTCCTAAGGGAGTTTTAAAGTATAATGATTTAAGTGAAGGCTTTAGAAAAGAGCCAAGTTGAAATTCATTAAAATATTTAATTGCGTTCATGGCTGAGTGAGCCATGACCAAATGTCATTAGAAACAGAAGGATGTTCAATAGCATACGTTGAAATTCTCTTCTAAGGCGATTTCCTATTAGATGTCAACATAAAAAGACACCATTACAGCCAACACCACTGTTGGCAAGTTCAACAGCCAGGGCAGAGACTAAATAAACATGGAAAATGTAACAGCTCCAAGAACTAGGGTGAGTCTTTTTTACACAGGCATTATGGAGAGTGTTACGCCACACTAATTTATTCGAAGAGGTCATTGACAAATTCAGTTCTCACTCCTATTAGGAGAACTGAATTAAAGTATGGGAGAAGATGACAATTTAACTGCACTCTTTGCAGTGCTGGAGTTTTTCCTGAATGATACTTTGCATTCTTTCATAATTTTCAGTTATTGTTTGTTTTCATTTTCAAATGGGAAGCCCGACGTGAATTATACAGCTATTTGGAAATACTGGAACTCTAGCAAAGAAAACTACCTAATTTTAGTTCTCTCATGTAAAACATACTGAGAAGATCTTAGAAGGGTGCATCTAGGATTATGAAAATATGTACGGAAAATGTGATAGGCTACCAATGAAAAATATCATAATTAGGAAAATTTACCACAAAGAATACAAGAGACACTGGCCACCTCTCTTACAGCTGTCAAATTTAATACATATACAACATATAAGCTGTTGCAAGGCAGTGTTTATTTAGCTTGTACTGCATCTCTAAAAATTGTCAGCAGTGGATCTTTCAAACACAGTATTGAAATCCACACAATGCTGGTTTATCAGGAAATACTTTTTCTACTCTGATTTGGAGCCAAATTTTCATTCTCTTGCCCTCACTAAACTGAACTTGTTCAACATAGTCCCCTTTAAATCAGTGGGTCCTCTTGTGGCATGAGGCATTATTAGAGATAGCACTGATTATTCACCTCTGCCCTGAAATATTAGGAAGTCAACAGAAATCTGTACTTTTATCAGTTTGTCAGACATTACTGAAAGTGTTGGGGGTAAAAAAAAAGGAAAACGAAAACAGGACAATTCCTTACTCTTCCCAGCAAAGACACACACCAGGTGGAATGGAATAAGCAGCCAGAGAAGAAACTCATCTCTGTGTTCAGATGCATGATGCTGGCAAGATGAAAATCAGTGTTCAAAAAAGGAAAGAAGCCTGCTCACATGGGACACGACCACTGGTAAGTTTTATATGGAATAGAAGACAGAAGACATCCCTTCTGTATAAAGGGAGCCAGGTGGACAAAATATGACCCAAAACATCATTGTTGTGATATGTAGTTGTGAAACACGTTATTCCTTTGAGTGAAAAAATAAAGTGACTTTTAGTGAATATTTTCTACTGCACAAATTTTAAAGCTTTGCCAACATTAGGACTTTCTAGTCTTCTGTCTGCAGTATACAAATACATATCTGGAGCTGGGGAGTTGTCAGACGAGCTTCTCACCCGTCATCTCTCTCTCCTTTCAGCTGATCTCTGGCACAAAGTGACAGTCTCTGTCACAGAGACAGACCCTTACATACTCAGTTCTTTCCCTCTGTAAATATCCACATAAAATTCCCACCTTTAAGATTCTCTACAAATAAATTATTCCCTAGCTCTGCCACAAACATCAAGAAGGCTTTGTGCATAGAAAGGAAATAGGAAATAAGAAATAAAACAAAGAAATAAAACAAAGTTAAAATACAACTGTATGGATAACTACAGTTGGGGATATGTATCCATATAGTATGGATACTTCCCCAGATCAAGTATGTTGAGTTACATGCAGAAGACTTTTTTTTTTTTGGTCCATTCCACAAATTTCATCCAGAATCTACATTTGCCCCAAGTGCCAAAGTGTTACGTGCATGAGACCTGCAATTCTCAAGCACAAAAGGAATTTTCAGTGCAGGAAGAACCATCAGCAGACCTGTGGCTAAAGGGAGCCTGAGTTAAGCCAGCCTTTACTCACCACAGTCAAATGCTGCAGTAAATACACCACATCAACCATGTCGGCCAGAACGAGCAGCCTTGTGACAGCGGCGAGCAAGGAGCGCGCTGCCGGGACAACGGCCTGCCTGCGGGGCAGGGAGCAGGGATCGCTGGTGAACGCCTCTGCTGACACCTTCAGGGCTTGACCTGCAAAAGGAACACAGACACATAGGCTGCATTGCAACACTCAGGGGGAAAGAAATCGTTAAAGCTGCATCAGGTACCTGGCAAGTCACTTGGCATCTCCTTGTTGCCCTAATGCCTTGAAATGAAGGCCAATTATTACAGATCATGCAGGATGTTCCACATTTTGAGTGGTGTTCCCTTTCTGTTCTACTGAATCATTTAATTCTGAAATAATTCCCTTGGCCTTCACACTACTACTCTTAACCGTACACAACAAAGCCAGGGGCAATATGTTAAACTTCTCTAGTCACTGCTTGTTATATTACTGTGTACTTTGGTGTTTGTACTTTGGTGTCCTTGCTATTAAATAATTCCTGGTCACAGAAGGGAATCAAATATTGTTCTCCTCATTACAAATATAAGTTAATGGAATGAAAACTTCATAGACTCAAACATCTAACTAACATGAAATACGTGAAATCGATGCCATGCAGCTACTGACTGTGCCAGTGGACAGCAATATACTGCTCCCCAACGTGAAGTTTTAATTAAATTTAACTAAATTTAACAATAACAACAGTGACAAACACCCAAGTTTAATAAATACATTCACACCTTGTTCGGTCGTGCATTAGCCTCAACTATCATTAGCCAGTATACATTAGCCAATAACCCACTATTACTGACTCAGAATAACCAGCCAGGAGTGTCTCTGTGCACAGTAAAAGTGGTCCAAACAAAGCTGACCGGGAAAGCAGAGCTACAGATTGGTAAGGAATTGCCTAATTAGGAAGGAGTGAAAGTGCTCAGTTGTGAGAAGCCCAGACAGGAGTGAAGGGTAAGCCTGTGAGTTAGCAATTGAATGGATCAGGAAAGAAGTGAGATATAGCTCAGCTGAGGACAGGAAACAGTGCTATTGCCAGGAATATTTAATAAAAGTTGGGAACAAAACACAAAATTCTGACAGCACAGCAGCTCCTCAGAAACCTCTAATGTAATGTTTTCCCCCTCCCACAAACACGAGGCTGAACTGCATATTCACAGGCCACACATGTGATTATTTGCCCAGGTCTCTGCTATTGTGCCTTCCAGAAGACAATGGCTGTATGGATTTGCATGTCTCTCAAGCACCTGAGACACTTCAAAACTGCAAATAGTCCCAAAATCTGAAAATAGTACCCTTTCAACATGGATACCCTTAGCCACAAAGATGATTCAGGGACCAGAGCACCTGTCATACGAGGGAAGGCTGAGAGAGCTGGGACTGTTGAGGCCAGAGAAAACTCAGGGGGATCTCACCAGTCTGCACAAACACCAGAAGGAAGGTGAAAAGAAGATGGAGTCAGACTGTTCTCAGTGGTGCTCAGTGACAGGGCAAGAGGCAACGAGCACAAACTGACACACAGGAGACATTCCATCTAAACATCAGAAAATGATTTGTCACTGTGAGAGTGACTCAGCAGGGGCACAGGCTGACCAGGAAGGTTGTGGAGTCTCCATCCTGGGAGATATTCAAAACCTGACCGGGCATGGTCCTGGGCAGACTGCGGGCCCTACCTGAGCCAGGGCATTGGACCACCTGACCTCCAGAGCTCCCTTCCACCCTCAACCATCTTGTGATTCTGTGAGCAAAGACAAAACCAGAAGGGTCTGAATATGACCAGCCCCTTAGAAATTAGTTGGACATAAACTGGGATGGCCAGTAGAACAAGTATAAAAATCACAACCCTAAAACAGAGCTATGAGATGTAGGCTAGGCGGAGAGGAGCTAGAAGTGCAAACAGCAGAAAATGACAGCTCCAACAACAACATGACAAGAACTTTATTAAAACACAGTGAACAGCATGACAGTCTGATGCAATTTTATCTATTTTTATGGTAATTCCCATCAAATGAATATTATTCCATAATTACATTTGTCACAAACAACGACACACAAAAAATGCCCTTTTAGTGGCACAAATAGGGAATTGGAAAGGTGGCAGTATTTATAATATTTCAACTATTTTAGACAATCAAATGAAAAGCAATTCAAAGAATCAAAGACAGGCTATATCATAACTACACAGTTATTGGCAGGCAGATATTTCCAAGACTCTTTTCAGCACACACACATAAATGACTCCCAAAGTAAATGGTGTTCTACCATTAGCTAATCAGCTATTGACAGCTACTGCTGTGCCAAATGACATGCTCACAAAAATCTCTGCTTAGGCACGAGGAAAGGTAAAATCATGGTTCAGTCACAGGTAGAAAACAGTTGGAGGATTCATGCACTTTATCTGTGTCCTGGGTTACACAAAAATTCTAGTATCAGCCTTTCCTTCTCTCTCTTCTCCAAATAGGCCTCTTTGGTTTTTTGGTGTTCTGCCTTCTTTAAAGAGAGTGAAGTGCTAATGATTAATGACTCCAACACTCGACCACCTGCAGTGACTGCCCAGGTGCTTGTAAGAGACTGGACTCTTGTTGCTAAAGGCTCAATCAGCCCTGTGCTTTGCTAACAATTTGCAGAGTGGCCATCCAGGCCAGGAGCTGAAGCTGCACATCCAAAACCTCAGGCTATAAACTGGGTGTTAAACAAGATAAGGAAAGCAACAAACTTGGACTTGATCATCTCAGAGGTCTTTTCCAGCCCCGTTGGTTCCATGAAACTCTGCAAGGTGGGGTAGTGCTTCTTTTTCCTTACACAGATGACTCAGCTGAGATAACTCCCCAGAACATTCACACCTGGCCTGAAGGGATGCATCTCTTGTTGATAAGCCACAATCAGCCAAAATGGACTCAGCTGCACTGAAATATGAGACAGCTGCAACATCTTAGAAGGGTCAAAGACTCCTGTAGTATCCCTGACTCACAGTATTATATTATCCAGTGTAAAACTCCCCAGCCCAGGGGAGATACTGGAGGAGCTCCCACCTGAACCTGAGCACGTGTAACTCTGAGTTTTCGGGCTTCCCTGCCCACCCAGGGCTTCCACACCACCGTGATGGATCTGGACTGCGAGCGACACTTTGAGCAAAGAACGTGGAAATTGCACCAACAAAGTTTCACCACTGGATCCAACGGGTGTCTTGCAGGTCCTTCCAGTCACTTGGGTGTTCCCAGCCCTGTGCTGACTCCTGTCCCAGTTTCTCCTTATCGATTGGTTTAACCCAGTTTTATCAGTATTGTTATCAGCATTCTTCTTGGTGAAGAGTTATTGTTTCACTTACAGCCATATTTGGTGTCTCTCTTCAACCAGGGGCATTGAATCTGAGGGAGAAGACTAATGTCTGAGGTCTCCCCCCCTCCAAATTATCTCCGACCAAGACAACCCAGCACCAAAAACGTCCGGAAACTTCCACAGAAATTCCTTTCAAAACAAGTCAACCATAATCCTGTTGGCAGTCAGCTGACAGCTTGTGCCGGGCTGGCAGCCGGTGGCAGGCATTGTGTCCGTACTGAGACTGCAGCCACACGCTCTTGGTTTAGGCAAGATCAACAGAATTATGCTTTCTTATTTCTTCGAATAGATTGTCTTTTTTGTGCTAAATCTAACCATCACATTACTCTCTCTTCTATTTGTATTTACAACTGGCTTTCTCCTCTCGTTTTTTTTGTTATTATTTTTAGCTGCAGCAGTGTGAAATCCACATGGAATGCAGCGAATTTTATGCCATTCTTGTGTCCTCCCACAAGGAGGTATTGTTGCCAAGAAAGTCCAGTCACCCACTCCTGTGAACTGCACCATTAGAGGCTGGTGGATTTACAGTTCCAGAGAAACACAGTTGTCAAAAGGAGCTCATTTACTAAGGGAGGGAGGGACATACCAGAGTCAGTAAAAAGAGAGTATTTCAAATGTCCCAGTCTCAAACTTGAGAGAAAAAAAAATACAAACAAACAAGAAAAAAACCCACAATGGTTTATAATATAAAATCATAGAATGGTTTGAATGGTTTATAATACAAAATCATAGAATGGTTTGGGTTGGGTTGGAAGGGACCTTAAAAAGATCATCTAGTTCCAACTCTCCTGACATGGACAGGGACACCTTCCATTAGACCAGGTTGCTCCAAGCCCCACCCAACCCGGCCTTGAACACTTCCAGGGATGTGGCAGCCACAGCTTCTCTGGACAGCCTGTGCCAGTGCCTCACCATCTACATAGTGGAGAATGTCTTCCTTACATCCCATCTAAATCATCCTCTTTCAGTTTAAAGCTTTTCTCCCTTGTCAAAAGTCCCTTTCCAGCTCTCTTGTAGGTCCCCTTTAGGTACTGAAAGGCTGCAATAAGGTCTCCCCAGAGCCTTCTCTTCTCCAAGCTGAACAACCCCAACTCTCTCTGTCTGTCTTAACAGGAGGTGTTCCATCCCTCTGATCATCTTTGTGACCTTCCCTGGACTGGCTCCAACAGGTCCATGTCCTTCTGCTGGAGGCCCCAGAGCTGAATACAGTATTCCAGGTGGGGTCTCACCACCTGGTTAACAGAACAGTTAATAGAACACTTACTAACTGTGATAACTCAGATTCCCACAATAGCTTTCTGTAGATGTTACAGGACATTTCTCTCCTGCCACAGAGTCTTACCTCACTCAGACATCACTGTATTCTGTCGCATTGCAATTATTTCACTGCTGCATACCAGGAAGTTCCACTTCCACATCTCATACAGTTCTTCCTACTGTGCAATCAGAGCCACCACACCCCCCCATCATGCCTTACATCCACCTCTTCATTCCCCCTTTCCCACTCAGGGACACCTGATCCAGTGATGGTGATGTCAGAAGCTTTTCTACAAGGCATCTGTTCTTGGTTTGATGAAAAGCATGTACAGCACAGGTTATTTTAAGCCATTTGATTATCTAAGTTCTGTCTCTAACAGAATTAAAGTCCCTTAGATGCAGAACACACACATGTACCTCTTAATGTGGGATGAGAAAGTTAAGTTTACTTTTAAGATGAGGGGAGGGACAAATAAGAATATAGTATGACACAAAAGATCACTTTACCCTTCCTTTAGTAAATGTCCTTAAACTCCCCATTTCTTGTCAGTGAATGGTAGTTTCTTCCATGCCATAAAAGTCTTGCCTCCCCTGTTTAATGTCAAAAGACATTAAATATGGACATTCAAAATACCAAAGTATTTTTTATAATTTCCTTTCAAAGAGCTGAAGGCTCAAAATGTAACTCCAGCCAGTAACTTGCTTTCAGTTCACTGCTATATGTGATGAAAGGCTTATCTAGGAACACACTTGAGTATGGTAATAGCCAAAGGCAAGAAACACTGACATTGCAAGAGAGAGAAACAACACAGACAACAACTGTTGTGTTTCTGACTATATATAGTCAGTAAGCAATGGCATTTCAGCTATGCCCACACAACTGTTTGAAAACCATAAGCCATCACACCTTCACACAAATGCAAAAAAATCATTATCCTAAGTATAATGCTAGACTTTAATTCAGATTTCTCAGACAACATTTCACCACACAAACTATAGAACTGTTTTGTCTTAAAACTGATTAAATCTCAGAATCAGGACATTCATTAGAAGCTGATGTTTGGTGTCAGAAGCATTCATGGTTGAACAATGCTTCTTACACCCCCTTTGCATTGGGGTCACTTATTTCACAGTACATTGAATCAGAAGGGAATCTTTTGAAATTCTGTACACATATGAAATCTGCCAGTGAGAATTTTTAAATATACTTATTTTGGGGTTTATTACACTATTTTAGAATAAAAATGTGAGCATGAGTACCCTTTATAAAAGCTTCACCAAATCCATTCAACAGGCAAATGTGGCAGTTCCTCAGTTACTGGGCTAGGGGTTTTCTGGGTGATGACAGTCCCCCACCCACACACCTTCCTGCTGACCCACTGAGCTGAGTTCCAGAAGAAGGGGAATCAAGATGGGGATAGAGATAGGCCTGAAAAGTAGTTTCTTGACAGGAAACAAAGAAAAATGCAGAGGACCTCTGTATTAAAATGATCAGCTCAAAGACTGTGGTAAAACTTTGCAGATGTCAAGGAAGCAGACATGAGATTTCTTCAGGTTATGTTCATCTGCCATTCATTAGAGCAACACCTTCTTTCAGAGGTCACTAACAGAATTCAACTGAATTTGAGTTACCAAAATCTCATCTACTGAGTGTCAAGACCAAACTGTAATCAGCGAAGCCATACCCATGACCAGATTTCTGAAGACCATGGATCACTCAGATGAATTAAATATGACAAATCTTATCACTACTGTTCATTTTAATCCTACTAATTTGCTCCTTTATTCTCCAAAATTATGTACAGGATTATCAGAAGCAGCTTGAAAATAGTCCCTTAAAAGGAACTTCTATTAAAGAGCTCCAAAAGTAACAAAGCAGCATTTTCACACTGGTGACTGACATTCCAAAGAAGTAAGGCTTCGATTCTCATGTTGCATCCTCAACTCACCAAGTTCAGTGAGTCACACAAGCTAAAACTCACGAGGGGGGGAGAGAGGATTTATTCTTTCCAGATGTCGGAGTGCGACTCTGGGTCACATGGGTGTGACATCACCTACAGCAACGTTTCAGGATGCCATTAGACAGGAAATACAAGCTGGAAACACGTGCAAAAACTCCTAATTTATTTAAAATTGTATTAATAAAGATACACCTGCCAGTCACCACAGAAAAGTATGCCCCTAGAAAATTAAATATGATATGCTATGACATGAATGGCAGGTGACTGCACGCAACCACATGCACGCAATAGTTGACGACCCACATCCTTTCAAAGAGCTTGAAGTAAATAACAGGAGACATTTAACAGCAGCAGAATGTGGCTCGAATAACAGGCAATGAAGTTGCATATGATGTGGCACACCACAAATTAAAAATAACACACGGCTTCAAAGGCTACAGGTATCTGCAAAATTAATGAATTGCTGGGTTTTTTTACAGTTGTTCAACAATTTCTTAAAATTGACTTGTGCAGTTTGGCAAATCCTTAGAGAGAGATGGGTTGTGAACACTCAATTTGTCATTGCATAATGACAGGTGATAACACGGATTTAACATTCTTTTAAAATGTATGAGGTGTATATAATCTACTTTATGTATTATTTATTTTTGTGTTTATCTCTGGCCTTGGCTGAGAATCAATAAGTAATATAAAAATATTTCACATTTTCAATTTATCCATGTATAAAAATCAATATAAAGCTATATATTGTATTCTTGCCTTGTGTTATCAGCCTGTAATGGATGGGCTAACATTTTAAGAGTACTCCAAAGTGACTGATTTTTCAAGAGCCTCAGCTGATCAGTGTGACAGATAACAGTGACACATGCTGGTCATAATGCTTTTAATCACAAAGGACCTTAAGGTATCTCAGACACCACATGCATATATCAAACTCTAAACCACAGCCATCTCTGGAGCCAGGAATCACTACCCTGAACAACAGCACAGATTCAGAAACCAGCCCAGCTGCACGGAAAGGAAGACTAAATGAAATAAAATAAATTTTAAAAATAAATTGATTAAATCACATCTTTAGTAAGAGCAGGGTGATACAATTAAAACATGCATGAAGTTGAACTTGTGATTTCCGCAGGAACACATTTAGGATGTTGATTATCTGACTTATCTGAGCCTGGCCTTCATATTCTCCCAAATATTTTGAGCATTCATGGGAAAAGTAAAAATCAATAAAGCCTGAAGGAAAATTCTCAGCAGATCACAAAACCTAGTCCTGTTCCATGAATCTCTTTGGAAATGGGGAGATAAGCCACGACAAAATGGAATATGGCAAAACTCACCAAAGAGGAGCTGCTCTATCATGAGGGGATGACTTACAGTAGGCTACAGAATCCATCCTCCTCCTACTGAGGTCCCAAAACATACCTTCCAACAGGACTATTACCCTTTCCCAAAGGAAATCCTTACTACTGCACAAAAGAGGGAAGATTTTCAGGTTTAGATTTTTCACTAAAAGGCCTTAATCCCGCATTTCGGTGAAAAGCCTCTTTGCAAGAAGAGCATTAAAGCAAATATTAACTTCAACTTGTGCTTAACAGCCACTAAAATTGCCAAGGGGCATCCTGTATTCATTGAAAAAAAAATTTCCAACAACATAACTTCCACTGATATAAGTCTTTTTCCACAATGAGGCACAGCTTGCACACTTTACCTCCTTATAAGTGGTATCTGAGAATACACAATTGGACAACACAAAGTTCAGACATTTGCACATCAAAACACATTTCTCCTGGATATCCTACCTTCACTTTGACACCAGTGTTACATGGTTAAACTAATTCCTTGTGGGGCCTACACTGTTTGTCACATACTTACTCTCTTTCCTGACATCAGCAAGAGCTGCATGAAGTTCCTCTTTAAACACAGCTGCTTCTTTGGCAATTTTTTCTCCCTTGTCCAACAGATTCCACGTGGCTTCTTCCACAGAAGCCAGCAAGACACGAGCTCTTTTGGAACGGCCCTTTTTCTTACTAGAAGGATTCTGTGGACAGTTCACTAGTGTTGTAACCTACAATTAAAGGAAACAAAAAACACAATGATGGTGTAAGTTCTACAATAAGTGAATTTATTGTGTTCTCAAATTAAAAAAAAGATATAGTTGAGAATAAGCAAATAGATTCCCACTGCTTTAGAGATAGGCAAGTTCAGCACACATGCTGAGAATGGACAAAACTACTGAATAAAATCTGACAGAGAATTTTACTCAATATGCCTCATTTTTGTGTTCTTTCTGTATGATCAAAGCAAAGTCATTAGAAATCTCATCTATGAAATCTCTCATCTCATCTAATAGAAATCTCTGATGCCGACTCCTGACACTGCTTATTTTAAAATTTGCTCATAATAATAACAACAAATTACTAGTGCTATCCAAGGAAGGTTCAGCAAGGAATCATTAAGGTTGGAAAAGACCTCCAAAATCAGAGTCCAACCATAAAGCTAACATTGCCAAGTCCACCACCAAACCATGTTCCTAAGCACCACATTCACATGTTTTTTGAATACTTCAAGGGGTGGTGACCCCACCACTTCCCTTGGCAGCCTGTTCCAATGCTTGACACTCCTGTCAGGGGCAGAATTTTTCTTAATATCCAATCTAAACCTCCCTTGGTGCGACTTGAGGCCATTTCCTCTTCTTCAATCACTTGTTATCTGGGAGAAGAGACCAACCCCCACCTGGCCACAACCTCCTTTCAGGGAATTGAGAGCAATAAAGTCCCCCCAAGCCTCCTTTTCTCCAGGCTAAACACCCACAGCTGCTCCTCCTCAGACTTGTGCTCCAGACCCTTCCCCATATCCATTGCCCTTCTCTGGACACTCTCCAGCACCTCAATGTCTTTCTTGTCATGAGGGGCCTAAAACTGAACACAGTATTCGAGGTGTGACCTCACCAGTGCACAATCACTGCCCTAGTCCTGTGGCCACACTATTTCTGATCCAGGCCAGGATCCCACTGGCCTTCTGGCCACCTGGGCACATGCTGTCCAACAGCACCCCCAGTTCCTTTTCCCCCTAAAGTGCTGAATCTTCCATATTTCCAACTTAAGACTCCCAAGGTATCTCAGAAACAAATACTCAAAATGAGTACAGGCACCTTTCCAAACACCTTCTCTTCTTACAAGGGAGTATCACAGTGGCCAGAACTCAGCACCTCTGAAGTCTTTGGTATGCTCTCAACATTAAAACTGTACATCATTTTGCCCAGAATGTAGCTTTGTCCAAATTATATTTTTTAACAACGCATTTCAACATCCATAAAGAACTTATTTTCATAGAGCATCCCACTCAACATTCCTCATCATCTGAGCACAGCCTCCACACTCCAACAGAATGTTTCTGAAAGACTATGCTCTAAAGGCACTGCTTGAGTTGTCACACTATGGAAAGACTCCGAAAGGATTTTTTCATTAAGTTCACTGATGTTTTTTAATCCTCTGTTCTGTTCTCTGTGCTGAAGCATGGATAGTATAATATTAAGTACAGATCTAACCCTGGAGCTTCATTTTATTAATGGCATTCCAACCACCAGCAGTATTGCGTAGGCAAAGCAAGAGAATTGACTCTGAATTTCTCAGGCCAGCAGGCAAACTCAGCTAAGTGCTGCAGTGGAGTTGAAGTTTGAGCTGGTCTGTGAAGGAGGGCTCCACACACAGGCACAAAATGAGAAGTGTGCTCTCTGTGCCTCAGCTCACCTTTAGATCTTGTCCATGAATTCATGCACTCGAGTGCTTTTCATGAATCAGTACTTTTAAAAGTCACTGACAAACATCCTCTGGGAACATTTCTATAAACACATCTTTGAAAGATAAAAGCCCTGCCCCCTATTTCATTCATGTGAAATTTGGGGAGAAAAAGGACCATCCACTTGACATAGACTGCTTTGGAAGGTCCCAAGGGAGACAGCAACATTAATAACTCTGGCTCAGATTGTTAGAGAGGGCTCATGTATTTTTCTGACTGTGGTTCAAAGGAAGAAAATGAAATTATTTATTGCACATAAATCAGCCAGCTGGTAAGAGAATGCACTGGGAATAAGAATCGTTCTACCTTTTATTTTTACAAACCCTCTAACATCAGTTCTAAAGCCTTTAATGCAGTTTCAATGATCATATTTTTAAGAATGAGTTAAAGAGATTATAGGCTGATACTTCCAACAAGAAAGGCATCAAACACCATCAAAAGTTGCAAGTTGCCCCAAAAATCTATCATGTAAAAGATACTTTTTATGTGTCTTAGGTATTTAATCACATTTCCCAGAAAATAATATATTCTATTTCTCAGATTTTTACTGTAGTCTTTTTTATGTAAAATGTCATTCTATGCACTGTTCATTCATATTTTGAGGAGGAAAGGAAATAAAACAAATGGGAAAGCATGGAAAAAATAATCATTCCTGCAGGTGAAAACTCTTGACTACGAGACCCTTCATCTTCAGCATCACCATCAGGAAATATCGGAGGCAGCTTCTGATCTCAAATACAAGTCAAAATTTGATAGACAGTTCTTTGTTCATGGAGATTACAGAAAACAGAAAAACTACTCTGCATTCTCTAACACAGAATCCCAATGAGGAATGCAAAAACTTTATGCAGATCCCGTACAGAAAGAATTGAACCACACAGTAGCTCACATAGTGTGCCATTGTCAACTCAGCTTGCACTGTAGTGGCAGAATACACAGTCAAAATGATATCATTACAAGAAAAAGGGAAAACATAACCCCATTAATCCTGCTCATGCATGACCACATTTCCCAGTCATTAACACCTTGTTGTCACACACAGCAAGTCCCCCAGCACATCTCTGGTAGGAGCAAAAGCTGTGCTAGAGGCACAGGGGGGTTTTAAGTCGTTTTCAAGCCCATGTGCCATCACAGTTACAAAGCTGAATCTTGTCGCTGTTGCCTTTTATTGCCATTACTTATTAGGCTGAAGGGGTGGGGGGGGTTGTCATAGTTATCCCAAATACTGCGTTCCTAAGGAACTGTGCAGAGGTTCTGTCAGGCTGTATTCAGTTCCAGGCAGCACTTAGAGACAATCTTTTAATACTGCAGTAGTTCAAGAAACAATGTCTTGGTACCCTGAGTATAAAATATTTGGTTCACTTTCACCTTAATATAAAAGTGTTTTTAAGCACCAATCATAAACTATCATTTTTTGTTAAAAATTTAATTCAGTGTAACTGCAATCCCTAGTCATTTGAAAATGAACTCAAGTGATCTAATGACAACAGCAGAACCCCTGCCCACTGTTTCCAATCTGAAGGACTGCCCATACAAACACACCCTGGTTCATCCCTTTCAGCACACAGAAAGAAAACTCCCTGTACCTAGAACAAAAACCAACCGTGTGCGTTCTCTGGGTGAGCAAACTTCTATGGCATGGCTGCCAGGGGAGAATACAAGCCTTTCAACTCCCTGTCCTTCGCCAGTGATCCAAGGGACTCCAAAGGGCATGGACAGAGAAGCTGCCACATCCGAGGGGGTTTTATACAAAATAATGTGTCCTACTATTTTCACAGTTTCAAAGCGATCACCACTGCCAACTGCAGATTGCAGGGGTGAAAGTCAATCTAACAAAGTAATTTGCACAGTTACTTCCACAACTACATCCTAGTGACTTCCTAGGTTGGTTTTGGCTTGGTTTTCTCCAAGATTGATGCTGTTAACCTAATGATTGCTCCAACATTTAGCATAAGTGGCTAGGACAGACTTCAGGGAACCTCAAACACTTCCACTGCTCCTTTCCTGCTACAGCATTACAAGACAAATTTATTTATTAAATAAATAAATTACAACATAAATCTCAAACTGTATTCCAGCAGCAGTTGCTAAGTGAATCTAGCAAGAACATAATTTTTATCTGTGACTGGTCTGATTCTCTTTCTAATCACAGACCAGTTTTCATTTATTACCCTTCTAGCATCTCAATCACCCTTCATTGAGTATTAGTTTTAACCTGGTTTGCATTTTCAGCACTTTTTTTGTCTCCTTCCACTCAAAATTCGAGTTTTCCTTCCACAGTTCTGTTCTGAAACAAAGCATTTTCAGACAAATCATATTCTCCTAGAACCATAGCACTTCCATTTTTAACAGACTCAAGCTTTTCTAAGATTGAGAAGAGCATAGAAAAGGACAGAGGTAAGATGGCTTCCTTGGGCTGTGTGTGACTAATTACATGCAGGTAACCCAATATCTTTGTTCTACACACAAGGGAGAGAAAATTCAAAATAGCTGAAGTTTCAAAACAGATTTCCTTTCTGTTCTTCATCCTGTAACATATTGCTACAGAGGTCTCCTAACACTTTCTTAGTTATACACAGTATTTGCAAAAGGAGGTCAGGTCTTTGAGTAGGTCCTCTCCATTGTATTAAAGACCCTAAAATGTCCCAGAATGCCATTCTTCTCAAAATTCAGATAAAGAAACTCACCTACAGATTTTCAAGGCTCTTTTCTACTCTGTCCACTACTTCAAATATGAAACTCTTCCTGCACTGGAAATCCATTTGCTGTGTAGTCTACATTGAAACATCTACCAGATAGCACTTACAAGAGAACATGTAACATTTACTATGATATATTGTGTGGCAAAAATGGAAGTGACTGAACAAGTGACTAAATCTGGAAGAAGGCAGATCCCCCTGGACAGGTTCTGAGCCAGAATAAACTACAAGTGCAGAAGAGCTGTGTGTGTGCCTTTCATAATAATGTCCTTAGTCAAAGTTCTTCAGCCTTCTTCCCTTCCCCCCTATTTTCTGCAATCCTAAAATACCTGAATTATCAACGGTTCCAGTAATTTCTCCACTGTAAATGTCTGGATCTGCAGATCCCGAGGATCAATTTTCAGCTTAATGTTTGGCACTTTGGTTGACATTTCACCTAGGTACAAAACAACAAAAAAAAGTGCAGTAAGTAAATATTAGCCATGACTGCAAGTCTCATTGCCCTCAGAGCAGAGAGACTGCCTATGGGAATATGGACTTGTTTCATAACAGCCTTAGGATTTCAAGAAAAAAAAGTAATTTTTACGATTCTTCACTGTGAAAAAAAATATGTTAATGCTTACATGGACTGTGAAATCATAGATTTAAAGTACATATAATTTCTTGTCTTCTCACACAGATTTCTACGTTGACCACATATTAAGAAATACACAAGGATAATTGCATTAGAATACCATTAAATGTAAGTTCTCTAGTAGTCTAAAAAGGAGCTTTAAAGCAAAAATATTATATTACATTACTGAATTTATCACAAAAACATTAATGCTATGTGCACAATACTTGTTATCTCACTCCATGCACCAAATTACAGTGGTCATAATAAACACCTTAAGAACAAAATCATACAGCAGACCTTAGAGCTACTGGAAATTAATAGCAGGAGAAAGTGAAGTATTTTGTCATTTTACAACATGCAATAACAAACCTTTTCTAAGTGTCAAGACAGATTAAGTCAAGACAGCCTATTACTGAAGTCAATAAGATGGAAGTAAAGCTAAGTAAGGTCTTTAAAGTGAACAAATCATTCATTAGGAACTTGATCCAAAGTCTATTGATGTTAATTTAAGGGTTTTCACCAAGTTCACTGGGCCACGGTTCAGGCCATTAACCTGAAATGTGTGTGTACCACCAGAGAATTATAACTGTGCTTTAGTTGGAATGCAACTGATTATTGTCCCAAAATAAAAGACATTTTAAATTTTGCTGTAATTTAACGTCCCATAAAACATAGCTCAGCAAAGCCTTTTTAGCCAATAAAGACTTCAAACACACAAATAATGGGTATCTGTCATTTTTAAGCAAGACTTATTACAATCATTGCTGTTGCATAATAAACTAATAAAGTACTGCAACTGTGCAGGCTAAAGAGATATACTGTTACCTTCCAGTGAACCTAGCATTGATTTAATACAACACAATAGGTTTAGGGTTTCTATAGCGAGTTGTGTAGAAATGGATCTGAAGAGTTATTCACATTTCACTTACAAGCAAAGATAATATCAACAATACTTAAAGAATTACAGTTAAAAGCAATTTACGGGTTTGCCATTCTTAATAAAGGTTACACAAGTGCCAAGTTTATTCTTTTATTACAAGCTGCACTAGTGGCAAACCTAAGTTCCCACAGATTCAGCTGCATTCAGCCAGGTGATACCATACCATATGTAGAGAAGGGATTTTTCCATTTTAATTCCAAGCCAAAAGATAAAGAGAAGAGAAGCCTGAGATCAGACTGACCAGAATGACACTTTTCCTTCCATGGAAATGAATAATGGAAAGAGAACTCTAGAAAATGTCAAAGCAAATTATATGGTTGGATTTTACACATTCAGCATTTAGATACTTGTAACAAACCCCAATGAGATAAAATCTGAGACTCCCAAAATCACCAGCGTCAGTGGTTCTCTTTCTGTCCAATAAATCAGTAGGCAGGATAATCCAACAGTTTTGAAATAATCCTTATCCCTCTGTTTGAAGGGAACTGAGCCCCCTCATAATTCACTGCTTCAGAAACAAGTGGTGGGAAAGGTCTGCAGCCCTTCTGCCAGATCCAATTGCTGTGCCTTCTCCCCCACAGGATGAAGTGGGAGCTGTGCAAGTGCACAGAGCACACCTCTTACTCACAAAGCCTCACTGCAGCTGCTACAAAGCGCCTTGCAACGGATGGATGACTCGCTGTCTTCTGTTCTACTCATTGGAAAATACTGATTTACTCATTGAGCTCAGAACAAAACACTGCAAACACGGAATAGCTGTAGAGACTGGTGGTTAGGCATGCTCTCAGCAGGCAAAATACTTTGTTTCCAAAGTAAGTAACGTTTTCAGAATCTCAGACCGCTAGAGACAGGAGACATCAAAAATCAAGGAGCATCAACAAGCACATTCAACATGTCCTGCAGAACCAGATCAACAGCCCATCCAGCCCAGCATGTTAGCTGTGGGTCAGGCTGTCACTTCTTGACAATACACTGTATATGCAACAAAGCAAGAAATAAGGCAGGCTCTTTCCATCTACCGCTTAGTGGAACAATTGCTATAAGACAAATTTAGAATCACTCAGAGTGCTCCATACAGCTACAGCTTGGGTCATCATGGAAGTGCAACACCTCCTGGCTTCTTCACATTGTGCACATAACACCCTTGGTGTGCTGACCTCTGCAACAAGGGCTTATTCTTACAGCTCAGGCCAAAGATATGCCACACTGTACTCACGCAAGCAAGACTTTTTAAAAAAGCTTTTTATTTTATCTTTAGTGATTCTTAGTGTTAGACCCATTGGTTCTTTATGTTTGGAAAATAAAAACAAAAGCAAAACCAACTTCTCAATCATATAATTCTTTGGAAATACTCTCAATATATAATGATGCAAGTGAAGTCTGTCTACTCAGTAGCGAGAGGACTAGTATAAAATGCAGTCTCAAAGGACTAACATCTATTAATTGCATCATTTCATTGAACAATGAATATTCAGAAAGGTTTCATGCCTGCCAAGTAGATTAAAATTCTAGACAGAGATAGTTATATCTAGTAGCATTTGCTATGATAGCAAGGGAGCCATGAGTAACCTGGAAGCCAGGTTCCCACCAACATTCAGACCTCCACACAATCATTGGAATTAAAGACAGCAAATATGAGCGAGAGATTCTTTTGAACCCGTTCAAGTAAGCTCTCCCCTACAGTACTAATAACTTGCTCTGAAAGCCAAAAATGTCTGTCACTCACACCCTTGCTCTCCTCAGCTTCAGTTCCAAACTGCATTGGTATTTATTTGCCTCTCCCCTAACAAAACCATAGTGAGTGCACCTTGGATTGTCCTGCAGTGTTGGCAAACACCGGGTCACGTCTGTGCCCACTTGCCAGCACGTTGGTGCGGTCTCTGAACATACAGCAGAGAAGCATCTGTGCTGTTTCTGCTATGTCCACCCCTGTGGGATGATGGGCAGGGTTAAAATTTAGAGGAGACTAAGAATTCTTAGAGTAAAATGCAGCTGCAAGTCCGTGGATGGAATGCAGTCGACATGCTCCCCATACAACGATAATCGTGTGCTCAGAGGGATGGAACAGAGAGCAGAACAAAGTGAAGTCTACGTGGCCTCCCTCCATTGAAATCCTGGCAGAAAGCTGAAACACTGTGCTACTTGGAAGATCATGAGACCATACAGTACCTGTCAGCCAAGGAAGAAACAAGGGGTTCTGCTGCTGAGCCAACAACCACATCAAACCACCCCTCAGATGACCACCCATTAGGCAAGAGAACTTTACACCAATCAGAAATAAAAGGTATTTATGACTAGAGCTACTCAAGCTCCACCTAAACATAAAGAAATAGTATAAAAGTAAGTTGGGGATGGGGGAAGATTGCAGAAGACTCCACTGAAACTGCTGGGGTCAGCTGACAGGCTGAGCCCATCTTCTCCCCCCACAGGGGTGCCCTGGGTAAGAATTATACTCTACACAAGTTAAATGCTGTTATTAGTACTAGAGCTTGTGCTTCCTTAATATATATCTCAGTAGATTGCTCTAAAAGTCTCCAGACTGTTGGTTGAGCCCCTCTGACAGGGGCAGTCAAATCCCCCTCTGATCTTGTGACTGTTGGGGAAGGGTCTCATTACAAGACGGTGACTGGTGGGACACGAAGGTCTCGACTTTCCCGGGGGCACCAACAGGCAAAATCTAAACTCCCCCCTTTCACATGACAACCCCTGATTCCAAAAGCATTTTAATTCAACAAGACACTCTCCTCCAACTTCATGGGATTGCTTCAAAGGCAGACTCTTTTGTACAATCTGCAATTCACTGGTTTTCTAAATCTTTGGCCTACATTTCAAACTGCCTTTTATTCACATTAGAAAAAAATAAATCTTTATGATATTGCTGGTTACCAAGCCTTATCTTTGACATTTTTAGGAGCCTCCCAGTATATGGACACTTCTTGAAATCCATCACAACAGTTGCAAATAGATAGTATTGATTGTGCTGTGAATTTTCATATATCAGTTGCAAGGGGACACGTAAGAAATAGTTGGAGACAGTACTTCGTGATTCTACTGAGATCTGAAGACATTACTAGATGATTTTCAGATTAGTTTTTCTGCAGATGCACTCATGCTTTAACTTTGCAGTGGCTTCCTCTCAATTCCTTGATAGAAGGGTGTTAGCAACTGCTTTACTCAAAATCCAGAAATAAAACCTTTGCTGCTTGCAGCAGAGCTGCTCTCCGTTCTCTCAGCACAACTTCCCATGCTACAGGTCATCTACAACAATCAGATCTTTTATAAAATTTGGCAGATAAAAATATAGTTGCAATTACAGTCAACTCCTCTTACTAGAGATCACTGTGCTCCAGAATTCCACCCTTGAGCAGTCTCAAACTTGGAAAGTGTTACAAATTCAACCTCATTTTTGCAGGTCAGAAAAATGTGAATCCACATGCCATGACTTTTCCTTTTCTGGGTTGTGCTGGGGTTTTGTTTGTTTGCTTGGTTTTGAACCTCAGCGTATTGCCTAACATCAGCATTTTTATTCTTTGCTTGAACCCTGAGTTCAAAAGCCAGCGCCAATAATATCTTTTAGCCTTGAGTCAGGCCCATAACTCATCATTAACTGAAAGTCAATTGCAAAAACTATTGTCTCTGAAAATTTCAATTATATTCTAAGGTATAAATAACTCATTTAAGGACTCACTTGCTGATTCCAGTAATTTTTTTTTAAGTAAAATTCTAATGTTTTCTGAAACTTCCTTAGAGTAGCCCAAAAGATGGAAACAACCTTGCAAGCCAGTGCAGGGAAAACTACAAAATCTTAAATTATTTTGATACCTTGACTACATACTTCTAACCTATGAGGCTCTCCTTACTGTTATATACCATACTATAT